AATAGTTCTTCTTAATATCATATCATAGTCATACATCATCTCTTATACTGCTTATACTTGTCGCTCTCTCAGTACGCTCCCGTACACACGCACATATGCTAGTACTGCTTATAGTGCATTGCTTCGCCCTGTTCTCGGTTCAGTCCAAAGATTCGTCGAACGCATCGCATCGAGTCGTAGTTCACGGCCACGGCCTCAAACCATTTGTAACCCGTCGTGAAAATAAAACCCATTTGTAAACTTAACCAACGGAGTAAATTATTGTAAATGTGGAGTCAGAGTTGCCGAAAAAGCTCGGCAGCTTCCAACATTTTGGTGACCCCGACGTGATTGCCGTGGACTTACAGTGCGTTGAAAGTGTTTAAACCATTCAATCAATCCAAATTTGAAGGTTTAACGTGACATTTGTGAAAAAGTAGCGAACCAAAAGTCGTTGTGACCGACCTTAGCAGTTCTAGCGGCCCGCTATTCGTTTTCGTATTCTCTTTCACCGTCTGCTTCAGCCTGCGCAACGCACTGTCGAGACTGGCTGCATAGAGTTCTAAGCGTGGTCCGTTATTTTCTTCGCCTCCTCTTTGGTCGTTTGCTTCAGCCAGCTCTTGTGAGAGGCTGCAGTAATAACTCTCTGAAATTCGAACTCGAAAGCAGAGTACCTTCTCTCTTTGCATAATTGTTGGTTTTCCGTCGTCGCTTCGTTGCTTTTACCGGTGCATACCTATCGCATATATAAGTGCCAAAAAAGTGAACGCAAAGGTGTTTGAACTCGTTTTGAACTCGTTTGAACTCGCGCGTTGCGTAATCATATTTAATTGTGATCGACTAGCACCCTCCCGCGTCAACCGTTTTCTATAACCAAAACCATGGGCAAGAAAAAGAATAGCAGAAAGAGTGGATCGTTTGCTATGGACAATGAAAGTGATTCTGTGACATTTGGCGCTGCGCCATCGGGCGAAAGTTTTAGTGCGAATGCAGCCAGCACCCAAGTCCCTGTTCCGGTATCTCGTATTTCCTTCATGAGACTGAAGGCTAGAGCTATTTTCGATCGGCTAGAGTCCATACGCACAGAGATGGATAGTGAAAAGTTGCGTCAAATGGATGAATACGACTTGCGAGGGCTGTTGGAATCATTGACGGAGCTTAAGTCAAATTTTGTTGTGGCACACACCAGTTTGGAGGATTTGGATTTCGAGTCAATGTCCAGTGAAATTCCTGCCAAATTCGACTCGTCGATATTGTCGTTGAGGACCATTCTTCAGCGCGAGCTTGGAAGTCGCTCGAGCAATAAGCATTGTTCCACATTCAACGCCAACTCTAGTGAATCGCAGTCAATCGTCATAATGTCTAATCGATCTCGGTTACCTCATCTGGAGCTGCCCAAATTCAGTGGAATTTATACGGAGTGGGCCAATTTCTTCTCAATGTTCACAGCGATTATTGACAAGGAGTCTGAGCTGAGCCCTATCGAAAAGTTGCAGCATCTACGTTCCTGCTTGAGTGGCGCAGCCCTGAATACCATCAGCTCGTTGGAAATAAATGAAGCTAATTATATCATAGCATTAGACATTCTGAAGCGACGCTTTGATAATAAACGTTTTATTTTGCAGGCACACATCAGAGGGATATTTGGGTTGGAGAAGGCTGACGCATCGGTGGGCAGATTGAGGGAATTGACCGACAAAGTTACATCGCATATTCGTGCTATGGAGTCGCTTGCAAGCAAGGAAGAAGTGGCGGATTGCATTATCGTGCAGACTGTTCTTCAGAACCTGGACAAAGCCTCTCAAAATAGATGGGAGGAGTCTTCGTCGAATCAAGAGCTGCCATCTTGGGAGAAACTGTCTGGATTCTTGGAAAAAAGATGTCGAACGCTTGAAAATGTGGATCAAGGACAAGGACAAGATGGTCAGGTTGGCAAATCAGGAAAAACCGTGAGTACGCATCAAAGAAAGACATTTGTAGCATCGACCGCTCCAGTTTCTTGTGAACTGTGCGAGAGTACTCATCACATGATTGCCAATTGTCAACGGTTTGCAATTCTATCGCCGAATGATCGTCGCCTGGAAGCCAAGAGGCTCTTGCTATGCCTAAATTGCCTACGAAAAGGCCATCAATTGAGAGATTGTAGATCAGGTCCCTGCCGCACTTGCCGATCGAAGCACCACACGCTTTTGCATTTCATTCGTCCAACAGAGGCTGCCCAATCTGTTCCTCCAATTGAAGCCTCACCAGCACAACCAAGTCGTAACGCCATGGTTGCAGTATCGCCCTCCTTGCCTCAAGCCTTTATGTCCCACAGTCCATCTGATGCTGTGCTTTTAGCCACTGCCGTCGTTCTTGTAAAAAACAGCGTTGGAACTTTCGTACCCTGTCGCGCATTTTTGGATTCGGGATCGCAATTGCATTTCATAACTAGTCGTCTAGCTAATCAGCTAAAACTTCGAACAACCAAATCGCTTACCGCTGTCTCTGGCATAGGAGATGCTAGCTTCCCAACAGAAGGTATCTCGGTGGATCTCGTTCTGAAATCGCGGATTTCAGAGTTCACCACTAGCATCACTGCCGTCGTTGCCCAGAAGATCACGGACCATCGACCTAGCATCACAGTTAGCACTGCTAGTTGGCCTATACCTTCGAATATCCAGCTTACTGACCCTTCGTTCCATAGGCCGCAGCGGATTGACCTCCTCCTCGGAGCCGGACTTTTCTTCGAGTTGCTGTGTGTGGGGCAAATTCAGCTGGCGCCTGGAGCACCGTTGCTGCAGAAGACACATCTAGGATGGATTCTTTCTGGTGGCGGGCACTCGGCCCTCAATAACTCGTCGTTCATCGCAACCCAATCTTCGGATGACATCAATCACAGCACTCGGCTCGATGAGTTGGTTCGTCAATTTTGGGAAGTGGAGCACATCTTTGAGCCAATCGTTAGGGCAACAAAGGAGGAGCTGCACTGCGAGGACCACTTTGTCAAACATCACACTCGATTACCCTCAGGAGAATATTCTGTTAGCTTGCCCATGAAGCGAAGTCTGGAGTCCTTGGGCGATTCTTACTTGCAAGCAAAGCGACGGTTGGAAAATTTGGAGCGCAAGTTCGTGCGTAATCCAGCTCTATATTCGAAATATTCGGCATTTATGAAGGAGTTCCTGTCCCTTGATCATATTTCTCTGGTGCCAAATGAAAATAGACACAAGTGCAGATATTTCTTGCCGCATCATTGCGTCATTAAAGAGGACAGCTCCACGACAAAGCTGAGAGTCGTATTCGGCGGCTCTGTAGTTACCACATCTGGTCTCTCGTTGAATGATCTGCTTATGTCAGGTCCCACCATTCAAGCCAAGCTGTTTCACACTCTCCTTCGATTTCGTACATTTTCCATTGCTCTTACAGGTGATATCGGTAAAATGTATAGGTGCGTGCGTCTCTCAATGCCTAACACCATGCTCCAATGCATATTGTGGAAGGACTCTGTGACGACGATATAAAGATCTTCAAGCTAAACACTGTCACCTATGGGACTAAGCCTGCATCGTTTTTAGCTATTCGAGCTATGCATCAGCTGGCCATGGATGAGTCGTCTTCGTATCCATTGGGTTCGGAAACCATTCTACAGGACTTCTACGTAGACGATATGATTTCTGGAGGAAATTCAGTCGAGGAAGTGCTGGATATTATGCGTCAAACCACGGAGCTTCTTGCTTGTGGCAATTTTCAGTTAAGGAAATGGTGTTCAAACTCTCCTGATGTTCTTCGTGAAGTCCCTGAGGCAGAAAGGGAAAGTTTTCTGAAGCTCGATGATGGCAGCGATGTGACCAAGGCGCTTGGACTCATCTGGGAACCCCAGAGGGACAAGTTCCTGTTTACTTTTGCACCTCAAATCGGTGTTGGCAAGCACACTAAGCGTTCGGTGTTGTCAACCATTGCACGGTGCTATGATCCTATGGGATTGATTGGACCCACATTGACCAGAGCGAAAATCATCATGCAGCGCATGTGGAGAGACAAGCTGCATTGGGATGAAAGTCTTCCTCAGCCACTGGAATCGGCTTGGACTGAGTTTTGCAAGGACTTCGCTACTGTGGGTAACGCTACATTTCCGCGTTATATACTTCAACCTAAGGCAAGGTTTGAGTTGCATGCCTTTTGTGATGCCAGCCTCCAGGCCTATGGGGCTTGTATCTACGCTCGTTCGTTTAGGGATACCGCCGATGAGGTACATTTGCTTTGCTCGAAGGCTAGAGTTGCACCATTGAAAACCCTCACGGTGCCTAAGCTTGAGCTATGTGCAGCGTTCCTGTTAGCCAATTTACTTCGCGAAATTAGGAAAATCGATACCTTCGACTGCCCGATCCATTGCTGGTCGGATTCAACTGTGGTACTGTCTTGGTTGCGAGAGGAGCCATCCAAATTCAACGTGTTTGTGTCTAACAAGATTTCCGCAATACAGCAACTTACGAGGGGCATGGATTGGCGCTATGTACCAACTGAAATGAACCCGGCTGACATTCTTTCAAAGGGAGCAGCGCCTCAGGAGCTCTTGCAGTCTAGGTTGTGGATGAATGGACCTTCTTTCTTGCAAGGCGAAAGAAGTAACTGGCCTGAACGTTGTTCGCCCGAACTCAGTCTTCCGGAAATTAGGCATCGAGTATTGCTGTCGTCTGAGCGTGTCGACATCTCGCTTTCGTTTAAGCACATTAACTCATTCGGAGTCATGATGCGCATTTTCGGATATGTTCATAAGTTCGTCAGCAAGAAAAGGTCACTTGATCTCTCGTCTGAAGACCTTCGCAAAGGATCGCACTTGTTGTGTCGCATCGTTCAACGCGCCCACCTTCATCCCGAGTACCGTGCTCTGCGGAAGGGGAACTGTGTGGAGTCCTCCAGCAGCATTATATCTCTCTCGCCTTTCATAGATGACGTTGGTTTGATTCGTGTTGGTGGTCGCTTGCGGCACTCAACTCTTGGCTTCGATGCACGCCACCCAATAATTGACGTTCGCCATCATCATGCACTTTCATCGGAAGCATCACCATGCTGGGCCGCAGTCTCTACTGGGATCTATTCGCTTGCAGTTCTGGCCCATCGGCGGCATGAAAACTGTTGCTCGAGCGTTGCGGAAATGCATCATCTGCTGCAGGTCCAGACCTCGTCTTGTGGAACACATAATGGCTGACCTACCGAAGGATCGAGTGCAGGATTCGCCTGCATTCAGCGTCACTGGAATCGATTACTGTGGTCCCTTCTATTACAAGCCAGATGGCCGCACTCGAACGCCTACAAAATGCTACATCAGCGTCTTCATCTGTTTTGCAACAAAGGCCGTTTGGTTGGAATTAGTGAAGGACCTCACAACTGCTGGATTTTTGAGTGCCCTCAAACGCTTCGTTGCCACGCGCGGCATACCCCGATGCATTGGAGGACCTTCGGCGGCTGTTTATGAGCGAGAAGCATCGTGATGCAGTTCATAATCATTGCATCAACAATGGCTTCAATTGGAAGTTTATCCCGCCTCGCTCACCCCACTTCGGGGGCTTGTGGGAGGCAGCAGTGAAGATGGCCAAGCAGCATTTATATCGCTCCCTGGGATCGTCACTCTTTGGTTTTGACGAGCTGCGGACATTGGTCTGCCAAATCCAGGCTGTAATAAATTCTCGTCCTCTTCTCGCAATTTCAGAAAACCCTGAAGATCTTGGCGTCCTTACACCAGGACATTTTCTAATTGGTCGTCCGCTGATGGAGTTTCCCGAGCCAGATGTTACAAATCTGAACTTTAACAGACTAGATTGCTGGCAAAGAGTCGCCTGTGCTCAGCAGATCTTTTGGAAGCGTTGGAGTGAGGAGTATTTGACTCTGCTACAACAACGTGCCAAATGGCGCACACCGCAGCCATCGATCCAAGTCAACGACATCGTCTGTATAAAGGACGAAAACTTGCCGCCGTTGAAGTGGCCATTAGCACGGGTGATCGACATCATCGCTGGAGCTGATGGCACTGTGCGAGTTGCCGTCCTGAGAACACCGTCTGGAACCACTCGTCGAGCTGTCAACAAGCTGTGCGTCCTACCCGTTGAGGATCCTGTTAAAAGCCCTAGTCTTTCAACGGGGGGAGTATGTTCGGAGCAGCAGCCGATAATAGTTCTTCTTAATATCATATAGTCATACATCATCTCTTATACTGCTTATACTTGTCGCTCTCTCAGTACGCTCCCGTACACACGCACATATGCTAGTACTGCTTATAGTGCATTGCTTCGCCCTGTTCTCGGTTCAGTCCAAAGATTCGTCGAACGCATCGCATCGAGTCGTAGTTCACGGCCACGGCCTCAAACCATTTGTAACCCGTCGTGAAAATAAAACCCATTTGTAAACTTAACCAACGGAGTAAATTATTGTAAATGTGGAGTCAGAGTTGCCGAAAAAGCTCGGCAGCTTCCAACAGCACTAAAAATCCATATCCTGCACTCCCACTTAGACTTTTTTCCGACAAACCTAGGGGACGTTAGGGACGAACACGGAGAGAGATTTCACTAACTATTAAAAGCTATGGAACGACGGTATCAAGGTGTTTGCATTGAGAATATTTTGGGCGATAAGGGAATCTGATTCGAATGACAGAGGAAGACAACCACAAAACTTAAATTATTTTAAGAACAGTAAAAAGCAGTAGAAAACCAAATTTATCACATACGTTTAAAAACTTGTAGCAACATAACAAAAAAAAAAACGAAAAACACAACGAAAAAAAGTAACTGTCAACAACATTTAATGCCAAAGGAACACGTTCAGGTACCAAAAATTCAACCCATTTCCGTTTTCTTTGTTCCCAATCTGCAGTAGGGCCCGCAACCTTCCAAAAAGTATTTTTTGTCTATTTTTTCGTTTTTGTAGGTTTGGTTAACGAATTATAGCCCCACCGTCTTGTAACGAACCATGTTTCTAGCCGTTTCTCGTCACAAACGGCGTAGAGTCAGCGCATCCACGCTGGCTGGAGACAATAATCGAACTGATATCCCCAGAGCTAACGAACCATGGCTCTAGCCACGGTTCTCCACAAATAGCGGTGTGTCAGCACCTGCGGAAAATAAAACCACACTGACCCACTAACAATTGTGAACGAAGCACCAAGTTTCGACCAACTTACCACGCCCCACAATTAATGTCACCAATAATCATAAGTAAGCAATAAACAATTATTTCCGGGTCTCAGGTGCGATCGCCAGCTGCATAAAAGGGCCAAGATCGGCCGAAAGAGTAAGCAGTCCATCAGCCCGAACACAAGACACTGCACTAGGCAGTCCATCTGACCACACCCAAGACACTGCACTAGGCAGTCCATCAGTCCGAACACAAGACACTGCACTAGGCAGTCCATCTGACCACACCCAAGACACTGCACTAGGCAGTCCATCTTTTGTTGTCTTTTCTTCGAGTTTGCACTGTTCCCTTATTGGTATTTGTGTTTTTGTTTGTGAGTATTGATGAGTGCACGGCCGTAAGCTGATTTTGGGCATTCCAGCCTTAAACAATGCATAATTAATGCGTCTATCTAAAAAAAACGAGAAGGAACGTGTGAGTCGTTTCTGGGGACACGACTCTACTTATACCCGTACTCAGTCAGTATATACAGCTTATGATTTTGTAGAATTTTGGAAAAAAAAAAAAAATTTTACATTTTACATTTTTTTGCTACATCTGCTATCTACATCTACATATACAATGTCTATTCTACATCTAACATGTAGATTGTACGTGTTCCATTTAGATTCTACATCTCCTCCGCTAGGGGTTGCTCGCGCACTGAACGCGGCAGAGTGTGCGAGCGAGAAAGAGAATCAGTAGCGTCAGCAGCGCTGGAGAAGGAGAGGGAACCAACAGAAAATTCATTTCTTCATTCTGGCTATAATTATGATCCGATCTGATTCAGATTCGGCAATCTGGTAGATATGGTTATTTTCTACGATACTGCGCTTTCAGTTTTATCGTATCTTTAAAATTGTGGCTGCCACAGATTTTCGTTCTTTGTGGGGGCGGAAGGGGGCGGGGCGAAATTTTGAAATACACTTGTAGCAGTGTGATATCACATGAGTCTGGTAAACAAATTTGGTTGCCCTAGCTCTTATAGTCTCTGAGATCCAGGCGTCAAACAAGACGGACAGACGGTCAGACGGACAGACGGACAGACAGACATGGCTCTATCGACTCGGCTATTGATGCTGATCAAGAATATATATACTTTATGGGGTCGGAAACGTTTCCTTCTCTGCGTTACACACATCCACTTTTACCACAAATCTAATATACCCCTTAACTCTTTTTTGAGTACGGGTATAAAAATGTATGCCGTTAGTTATGGACACAGAGAGAGATTTCGCCAACAATTAAAAGTTATGGAACGACGGTATCAAGGTGTTTGCAATGAGAATATGTTGGGCGACTATGTGTGGACTCTCACAAGGGAATCTGATTTGAATGACAAAGGAAGACAGCCACAAAACTTAAATTATTTTAAGAACAGTAACAAGCAGTAGAAAACCAAATTTATCACATACGTTTAAAAACTTGTAGCAACATAACACCAAATAAAAACGAAAAACACAACGAAAAAAAGTAACTGTCAACAACATTTAATGCCTAAGGAACACGTTCAGGTACCAAAAATTTAACCCCTTTTTGGGTTGCTTTGTTCCCAATCGGCAGTTGGACCTGCAACCTTCCAAAAATAATCTTTTGTCTATTTTTCATTTTTTTAGGTTTGGTTAACGAATTATAGCTCCACCGTGTCTCCATACATATTAATGAACCATACCGTAAACGACGCCTAATTAATGCGTCTTGTAACGAACCATGGCTCTCGCCATGGCTCGCCACAAACAGCGGAGTGTCAGCGCATCCACGCTGTTCAGAAACAAGTATACATCGTGGCTCTGGCCACGGTTCTTTACAAATAGCGGTGTGTCAGCACCTCCGGAAAATAAAATAGTCTTAAGCAACGCACGCAATTACAAAAATTTAGAATTCTCGATCAACAACTCAACCCATTCTTCATTATTTCGCAATTAGCGAAGACAGTACGAAATTTTCGGTCACCCTCTTCTTGGCGATATTTTGCAACCACTCGGCCTCGAATCATCGACCTACCATTCAGCTATGCAGAGTTAGCAAAACCTCATTTCTAAACCCAATTTCCAACTGCAGCCCGCACCTACTTCGATGCAGTCTCAGCAAAACACTTTCCTCACACCCACTGACCCACAATTATTGTCATCCAATAATCATAAGTTAGCGATAATTAATTATTTCTGGGTCAAAGACAGACCGTGGAAAATCACGGCCTCAGGTGCGATCGCCAGCTGCATAAAAGAGCCAAGATCGGCCGAAGAAGCAGGCAGTCCATCAACCCGAGCACACGACACTGCACTAGACAGTCCATCAGCCCGAACCCAAGACACTGCACTAGGCAGTCCATCAGCCCGAACCCAAGACACTACACTTGGCAGTCCCTCAGCCCGAACGCAAGACACTGCACTAGGCAGCCCACAGCAGAACTAGCAAGACAAGCAGGTCTCGAATCGTAAGCAAACCAAGACAATAAAAGCATTAATAATAAACAAAACAACACAAGCTATCGAGTCATAAAATTTCCCACCTTGCCTACTGCTCTTGCCTACTTTTCGTCCCGCCTTTGTTAATAAATCTTTAAACGCCACCAAATTTATTTTTCGGTCTATTTTTTTTAATTAGAAAAACTATTCTAATTTTTCATGGATAGCCAAAAAGGGGGCTGGTCCAGTCCCATAAGTCACGGTGTTAAGCGTGTATCATTTCAGGGATTCAGATGGGTCTCTTCTCCACACTATCAACTGAGACTGCCTATCCGCTTCATTCACCATGGCGATAAATCTTTTTTACATCGGCAGTCAGGGCGAACCTGTGCACACGGAAGCGGAGCAGCGTTGAGTATAACTCCTCTTGAATAGTCGGTCTAATTTAAACGGCAGCCTTACTTCAAACCGACCTGATGGCAATACCTGAGTCGTATTCAGAAAGTGATTTTCACATAACGTGTGCTCAGGCGAAATAATTTGCTTTGGAGATGGCATTTCTTCCGGTGACCAGAAGTTTTGCAAGGTCCTATCAATGGAAACTAACAACTCTTCACTGCAACTCAAACTGTTTGCAGTTTTGGAAACATATTTTCCCGAAACAACCCAGCCAAGAAGGGTCTTCTGAAGAGTTGGATAGTCAGGACCTTGCTGGATTTGACCAACAGCTAATAGCTCAAAGAATGATTCAGTTCCAATCAGCATGTCTATTCTTTGTGACTTGTACAAATAGGGATCTGCTAGTGGTATGTTCTCTGGGATTTTCCAATCAGTTACATTAACTAACTGGTCAGGGTGATAACCTGAAATTGATTTCAGGATACAAAATTCAAAGGAGAACTCACTACCATTTATGCGCGACTTCACCACAGTGTGTATTTTATTCTTAATTTGAGAATTGGATTCACCAATACCAAGCAAGGTAATACACGATCCCCCGCCCCGCCAAATGTGTTCAATCGACGTAGCTAAAACCCGCCAAGCGGGGGGGAGGTGCCGTTGGGGCGGGGCACGCGAGACATACACACGGCAGCGCGCCGCACGCGCCTTTTAAAAAATTAATACAAAAGGACGCAGACTTTGTGAACCGCGCGGGGGGGGCGGGGGCGGTTGTGCGACTTGCTTGGCATGACTTTTTCTTGCCTTGGCTTTGTCGACTCTTCCGCAGACAAATGCTGGTATCGACGATTTAAAACTTTTTCAAAGTCGGACCAAAGCGGCAACTTTTCGAAGTCAAACTGTTCTTCCCAATTCTGTCTAGTCACTGGGTCGACTCTGTTTAAAACGAGATGAATGAGCATTGCACTCGAAATCTTCGTATCGTCTCCTATCGATAGTAATGAACCATAGATCGATAGCACTGTATCGACCAGGCTCCTTAGGGACGATGCGGACTGTTGGGAGATTTTTGGAAGATTAAACAGAGAGAGATTTGGTTCGAAAATATTAGACACTCGTTATCGTATACTCGCTTAAGGCTGGCCATGGCCTTTGCATAATTGGTCTCGGTGACTTGGAACGCTTTTATTGTTCCTAATGCTTCATTAGAGAGGCATGAAATTAAATGATTAAATTTTTCAATCACCGGTACTATCATCATTATGAACAAGAGTCTCAAAAAGTTAAAAAAATTTTTAAACTCCGAATATTTACCAATAAATTTTGGTAAGGACAATTTCGGAAGTTGGGGCACAAGTTGGGGCCGTAGAAGCTGATACCCAGGGCGTCGTATCAATTGTAAGCTTCAAGGCATCGATAAGCGACATTATCTTTGCCTTGGTTGCAATGGCCATTTCTTCCAGCTCGGCACCAAATTCATCTTTGCAGAATTCAGAACATCGAGTCTGCATTGTAGTTCTGTGAATTGCATTGGAATCGATCCACCCTCTAATCGATACTCTAAGCGGCGAATGTTTTTGACTCGGTTTCGGAGCTTACTTTTTAAGTCATCGAGAACAGACTTATTTTCTTGTGCCATTTTACTATTTATAATCTACGCGACGACAAACAATATTTTGTAGATAAATAAATAATAAATGTTCAAACAAGAACGAAAATCGAGAACGACAATAATTGGATGTCGAGGCACGAGGTGTATAGTTGGGTGCAAGTGACAGCCAAAAACAATATACCCTCACACTGTAGGTTAGCGCGTCACTTTCAAAGTGTTTGTAGGAGGGTGGATGGAGGCACGCTGGAATGTTCCCAAAGACCGTATGTCCCAGTAAAGTAGGCGGGAGGTGCTTCGATGTATGGATGTATGTATATTTGTATATGATGCGGCTAGGCTGGTTCGGGGGTGGAACGAGACTGCAATAGCGCAGTCGCTCCGTACGGGGGGTAGAAGGAGACTCCAAAACTATGTATTTTGGCAGCTTAATGCTAGCGCCAGTGCTGGGTAGTCGAGTGGATCGTGACTGAGCAGCGCGAGAGCGAAAGGCACGAGAGAGAGAGAGAGCGAGCCAACAGTCCGCTGTTAGCAACACCGTCAACAGACTGTTAACTCTGCTATGTTAACAGCGCTGCTGCCCTGAACATCCTCCCCCCCCCTTGCAGGATTGCAATAAAGGCTGCGGATCCGGGCTGACGAAAGCGGTGTCCGAAATGGGATGAAGGAGCTGTAGACGGCGCTGAAGGTGGGCCGGGTCGACGTCGAGTGTGCTTGTTGCACATAGTCCATGTGCAGCAACGTGTGGTGTTTCCGGTTACACACCTTACACCGATCGCCGCTTCGGCAATCCTGGCCGGAGTGCTGGTGAGCCAGGCAATTGGTGCAGTAGCTGAAGTGGAGGACAGCTTGGAGCCTCCTTTCGGAATCCAGGCGGAGAAAGCGGTGGCATTTCCGTAGCGGATGGATTTCCGAGCAGACTCGGCATTGGTAGGACTCAGTACCTCGGGAACGTCTGCTCTCCACGGTGCGATCGAAACGGGATCGAGAAGCCATGTCTGGATGTGGAAGGCTAGGGCGAAATGAAAAATTCGAAGACGCATTAGGAGTTAGCTTGGAACGGATTACGGGCGCATTTAGGACATTGGAAGCCACTCTGGAAATTTGACTTGAAAAGGATGCAACCTGATGGCTAGCCGTATTGGACACGGGACCAGTGAGCACCCAACCAAAAATGGTTTCTTGCCCTAGGAGAGGAAGAATATCGGATGGAAGAATATCGGCTCCAATTAGGACATCGATTGGTGAGTTCTCGCAAAACGTAGGATCCGCCAATGGAAGGCTTGGCAAGTCTTTCAATAAACTTTGCGAGATCGGATGCAACGGAAGATTTCTTTGCCAATTCCGGAATAACGTAGGTTGCGGCGTTTAATTGTAAACCCGGCTTAGTCGGAGAGCGAATGGAAAACTGACAGAGATTATTGGACTGAGCGGATAATGTCTGATTGAGGCTCGAGATCTGTGTCTGGATGCGTTGGAATGGCAATTTAATCGTGTTGAAAAGGCGTTCCGTAATAAACGTTGCCTCGGAGCCCGAGTCGATCAGAGCGCGGGCGCGGAAGTTGGTTCCCAGGTGGCAAATATTAATGATTGCTGTGGCTAGAAGGACAGAACTTGTGCCGGAAGCGAAATACGTCTGAACATTAGTCGGAGGTTCGGAAGACCTTGAATTTTGTGCGTCAGGTACTTGCCGGCTGACGTCTGGCCAAGCTGTTGAACTGAGTACGGATGTGGAATTGGTATGTCCAACTGGATTGCTACGATGGAGAAGCGTGTGGTGCCGGCCCCCACAAGTGATGCAATTGTGGGTGCTTTGGCATTCTCGAAGTTGATGGCCTTTTGCGAAGCAGTTTAAACAAAGCTGCTTCTGCTTAATGCAGCTGGAACGAGCATCAACGGTCATTTGCAGGAAGTGAGGGCATAGTCGTATCGGGTGATTCTCTTCGGAACAGAGATCACATGTTATCTTGCTTGGATTAGCGCTGTTGTGGAACGAGTGCGCCGTCCTTGGAACAGGACTGCCTTGAGAACGGAGCGGATTGGACTGGCTTCGGGAGGATGGCGGATTCTGACTGGCCTTGGCGGGTGGCGGATTCGGAGCGCCTTGGGAAGTAGAGGGGTCGCTCTCGATAGCCTCGAGCGTCAGATATCGCTGGGTGAGGAAGTAGTCGATTTCCTTCCAGGGCGGCACCTCCTTTTTATCCGTTACGGACGCTACCCACAAAGCCCGGCTCAACTTCGGCAATTTGGAGGCACAGATAGTCACGAGGAGACTATCCCAATTGTCGGTGCAGACGTTGGAGTGAGCAAGGGCGGTTAGGACCCCTTGCATCGTGCTCTGGAGCTCTTTCAAAGCCCGACTGGTCTCGGAAACGACGCGAGGCAGAAAGAGGAGAATATTGATCTGGTTGGTCACCAGGAGCCGATTATTTTCATAACGGTTTCGGAGGGCCGACCATGCCGACTCGAACCCATCGTTTGTGAGTGGGGACGTCTCGACTATGGCCTTCGGATCGCCACTCGTCTTAGCGGCGAGATGATATAATTTCTCTACCGGAGACAGCCTCGAATTATTTATGTAGATTGCCGTAAATAAGTCTCGGAAAGTAGGCCAGCGGACGTAATCTCCTGTGAAGACCTCGATGTCGCAGGGGGGCAGTCGACAGCCATGCTGGTAGGTTTGAGGTGCAGACGGATGGACTGCGGTTTGGGCCAGCTGAGCGTTGAGGTCAGCTAGGCACTGTTCGAATGCCCCATAGCATTCGCCGTACCCCTCTCGGATGTCAGCTTGGGTTTCTGGATCCTCGTCAGCCATCACCGCGGAGCAGGCCTTGTACTCGGCCTCGACGTCCATCCACATGCTGAGGATTTGGCCTCGGCGGACCTCGGACAGAGGGGCGGATGGTGCGGCGGTTATGCGCTCTGCCAGGTGGGACAGTCGGCCAATGGCGGCGAGCAATTTGGTCCGTGCGACAGAGGGTGCGGATGGAGTCATTGTGATGCAGTGGCGAGAGCGGACGGGACTACTGACGAAAGCGCCTTTTTGCGTCAGAACTGGAACCTTGAGGGTGACGGGAGACGGAAAGAGAATTGATTTGGTTCTTGCAGCAGGGCTACTACTGGCTGCTCTCGGAGTGAGGGGCGACTTGGTTTTCTGTGTCGGCGTAGTTCCGGAGGCGGAAGAGGTGCGTAGCCGTCTTGGAGAGGTCACAGACAAAAGCTTGTTGCTATCTTTGTGGCCTGTTGGCATATTACGAACTCACACACGCACCGAAAATCGGGTTCGGAAGTCTTGTAGGGACAGAAGACTGGTCTGAGTAGAATTCACACGGGTCGCGCCATGAAATAAATATTTGTTCTGAAATATAACTCACTTGCGGAAGGCTGACAGGAAAAAGGCCTCGAGCTAGCTGGAATGCAATAATCAGGTCGACTCGGATTGTTTGAGATCACCTTTAGGTGGGAGTTCCCAAACAAGGAGTGACCTTATATTGTGCCGAGCTGAGGAGAGGAACGATCACACTGGTGGCAATATTTCGGAAATATTGTTAGAGCGGTGCTCCTCCGTTTACCCCTTTGGCGCGGTCGTGAGCAGAACTGTTTTATTTACGGATGGAAGGCGAACGGAATGGTATTTATATCCTCGATATCTTGTTGGAATGGGCGATAGTTTACTCTGTATGTTGGTTTGGATCGAAAAAATACAGATAAATCTAGTAGCCGTATGCGTTACCGACAGTTGCAGTCAAGAATATAACTGCGGATTGGGCGGTGGAAAACTATCGGGAGAAATACCGAAGAAAAACAGAACACATTAAAAAAAGATGACGAAAAAGTTTAAATTATAAATCGTGGATCGTTCAATTTATTTCTTGTAGTGTCCTTGTGTTTGCTTGGAAATTGTAAGACGAGAATAAGTTTTTTTTTTGTAATTTATTATATTTTCGGTCGAACGCAAGACTCGGTTACGATACCGATATTTTTGGATTGCGCCACCTCTGATGCACGGAACAAAAAAAACAACAACAAAGGACCGAAACACCAATTTGCCAATTGGCAGTGGAAATTGCCAAATAATTACTATAAGTGCGCCGTGCCTTGGTCGCGAGTAATTTATTTGGAAAGTGGAGGATGCTGGAGTTGGGGTAGCGATCGTGAAAAGTGGCTAGAGTGCACGAATTGTACGGAATCGCGAATTTTATATTAAAATTGGCACTTGCGCGGAGTATGTATGTAGTGTATGGAGCGCGGTATTTTTCTACGGGGAGTGGTATTTTTATGGTATGTGCGTTATGTGTATATGTATGTAAATAATTGGCGATATGGATATATATGTTGCCGCCAACTATGGAAATAAATATGTGTATATAGATGTCGGAATAAAAACACTTAATAATTGTTGGGGTGGGTTTTTATTCTGTTAGCACTTAGATGTGTATCTAAGTATGTTCGTCTATTTATTACGGAAGCCGCTCTTATGGGCTGGAATGTATGTACATATGCTCGGAATGCAATTGTATTTACTGAGGCTGGATTATGGGGATTTATTTTGTTTTAATTCAAAGTGTCGAAAGCGGATGCACAGACAGATGGAATTAGAGAACTACCGTAGCACTGGTAGTTGGAGTCGAAGTAACGAGAAACGCCGGAATTGCCGATAATATTGCGCTGGCGAAAAGGAAAGCGACACAGAAACTGGATAGCACTGGATGAACAGATATGTATATAAGGATATATATACATAACAGATATGTATATAAGGATATATATACATAAGTCGCGGAACTCGGACTTGGCGGGGAATAAACAACTCGCACTCGGAATCGATTTGGGAAGACGAAATAGTACTTATCTTTGGAACGTAGCTATGTAATCCACCGATGCTTGAAGGTTGGACTCCTCCTTATGGGGAAGGCGAAGATCCGGCTCGAAGGACCAATGTTTGTAGGAGGGTGGATGGAGGCTCGCTGGAATGTTCCCAAAGACCGTATGTCCCAGTAAAGTAGGCGGGAGGTGCTTCGATGTATGTATATTTGTATATGATGCGGCTAGGCTGGTTCGGGGGTGGAACGAGACTGCAATAGCGCAGTCGCTCCGTACGGGGGGTAGAAGGAGACTCCAAAACTATGTATTTTGGCAGCTTAATGCTAGCGCCAGTGCTGGGGAGTCGAGTGGATCGTGACTGAGCAGCGCGAGAGCGAAAGGCACGAGAGAGAGAGAGAGCGAGCCAACAGTCCGCTGTTAGCAACACCGTCAACAGACTGTTAACTCTGCTATGTTAACAGCGCTGCTGCCCTGAACACAAAGTGAGAGCCGAAAACAATATACCCCAAGAATGTAGGTTAGCGCGTCACTTTCCAAGTGAGAGCCGAAAACAATATACCCTCAAAAAACAGGGTAGCGCGTCACTTGGCGTTCCGTTTTGATCAAGCGCGGTGGTGGTGGCGACAGTGATTGCGGTAAACGATATATATAATTGTGCGTCCAAATAGCGGTTCAAATAGAGTATGGTATGGTTTTTGTATTTGTTATATCGTGTTATATTGTAGCGCTTGGATCAGCTAGATCATTTTTGTTTGTGGCGCCCTCTATGGGGCATGATGATAGAGCTCCGGCAGAAGAACAATCTGGGCCTCAGGTTTTGGGGGTCAAAGAAAAGGGCAGAGAAAGGCAGTGATAGTTTAACAGACGGAAACGTCAAGCCGAATGTCACCTTTTTAGAAGGCTTAAGGGTTCCCGCTGATTTCGCAGCGTGGCTTCGGTCTTCTCGTTTTCATCGTTCGACCTGGACAGGTGACTGCCGCAGATTACAGTTTATTTGCAAGTGCGTTGATAGTGGAAAGAAGTCAAAAGTGAAAAAAAGCAAACAAGAAAAATTCTGGGAATCTGTCTAGCAGCGAGAGGGAAGAAAAATTGAAAGTATAAAGTGCCAATTCCCAGCAGAGGTAAGCTCGGTGAGACAAGATTGAGGTGCAGGCCGGTAATTGCCACTTTTCGTCCCGCAGAGGGTGCGGCTTTGGAACAGCTCGAGCTGCGGAAGGAGGAGCGTAAAGAGGAGGTCGGCCATTCGAGAGCATTCAAAGCTCATCTGGGGGCAACGAGGCCCAAAAGAAGTATCTGGAGAAAATACAGACTCAACGTAGAAACCCAAAAAGGGGTCCGCGAAGATTGGAAGCAGCGACAGTATACAAATTTTTGGGTTAATACATTAGCAGAAAAACAGGCGAAGAGGACGACGAGCACAGCGTCGTTTTGGTGCTTTCCTTCGTTTTCGTTTTAGATTAAGTAGTAGAAAAGGTAGCAGTAAGTTCCGACACGAAAGCAGCCAAAAGAGACTCGGTCGTGATCATCGATTTGGGGGGTTGCTAAATACGCAATTATTGATGGGGTGAATATGAATTAAGGGATTAATGAAATTTAGGTTTAACGAGAAGGAACGTGTGAATCGCTTCTGGGGACGCGACTCTACTTATACTCGTACTCAGTCAGTATATACATTTTTGAGCATAATTTTTTAGAATTTTAGAATTGAAAAAAAATATTTTATATTTTACATTTTTTTGCTACATATGCAATGTATATTACACATCTAACATGTAGATTGTATATGTTCCATTTAGATTCTACATCTCCTCCGCTAGGGTTTGCTCGTGCACTGAACAAGGCAGAGTGCTAAGATTGTCGTAAGATCTATCTTGGGGAACATAGGCGATGCTTGAAGGCAAATAAATGTTTACAATTTCATTTTAGTTTCGTTTTTCTTTACAAAGTATTGGAGCTACAATTTTAGATATTATTTATTTTTATCTTTTATCGGTCATTATTATTATTTTGTTTATTGTTCGTGTTGGTATTAGTTATTTAGGTTTCGGAAACTTGGCGGGCAAGAAGAAAAATTAAACTTCGGAGAGGAATTTAGACGGTCATCTGGTTAAGCTATCGGAGTTCAACGACCTTGCGGATTTGCTGATAGCGAGTGAGAAAGAAAGCACGAATTAGGGAGAGAATTTAGGTGGGTTTAGGTTTATCTGGCCACGGCATAGTACTGAGATGGCCTCACAATGCAAGAAGGCAGGCAAATCCAGCTGTCTGCACTCTGTGTGGAAAAGGGTTTGAAGCTCAGCAGCTGTTCAAGACCAGGTGTGGGCACGAATTTCACAAATCTTGCATTGTGCCCTACTCGAAGGTAAATGCAAAATGTCCCAACTGTATTTGTATTTATTTTATAAGGTTCAACTATGAGCAGGTAAACTTACAAATTATAACGTAATATGAAAAGGACAAGAACATGGATTATCAGTCTATGGATATTATCCTGACCCAATAGGACTAATTTATTGGCCAAATAGCCGCTATGGTCCAGCTCACAGCAAGTTGTGGTCTGGAAATAGCCTATAGCCTATTAAGTTAAAATTAATTTATTTAAGTTATTTGTTAACAAAGATTTTACCTTAATAGAACTAGTGTCGAAGGAAAACAGATGGTAGAAGGTATTGTAGTTACGGCAAAGGCTACGGAAAGATTCATGGTCAGATTAATTAGAAAGACAGAGTTGATGATGAAGCGGAAAGTAATGCCTAGTAGGGCGGGAAGGGACAGAAAGGCTAATAAGGCTACTGAGGGCAGTGGAATCAACCTCACCAGCAAGAAGTTTGTGAAGAAAAAGCACTCCATGGCAAATCCTACGGCTTTCAAGAGAGCGGATAAACTGTTTTTGAACGGACTCAATCATTTCCTGATATTTTTGATAATGCGGAGACCAAACGCAGGAACCGTATTCAAGGATAGGCCGGACAAGGGATACATATAAAAGTTTAGTGGTATAGGGGTCGGTGAACTCCTTAGACCATCTTTTGATAAAGCCCTGGACGCCTCTGGCTTTATTCGAAATAGCGGATATGTGTGAGTTATAACAAAGATTAGGTACGAAGATAATTCCCAAGTCAGTAATTTTGTAAAAGCGGTTTAAGGATCAGTTATGGATATTATAGTCAAAGAGGTAAGGCTTGCTGCGATGTTAAGGAAATGTTTTGGGGAAGAATGTTTATTAAGCACCAGTTGTTGAGGGCGTCAAGATCAGATTGGAGACTTAACGGGGACATGGGGTCGCTATAGGAGAAACATAACTACATCGTCCGCATACATAAGTACTCGGGAATGAGTTAAGACTTGGAGAAGATCATTGATGAACAGATTAAAAAACAGAGGGCCAAGATGGCTAACTTGAGGTACCCCCGACAATACAGAGACAGGCTTAGAAAGAGAGTAATTAAAACAGACACGCTGAGATCGATTACAAAGGTATGCATTAAACCAGAAAAGAAGTTTAGGCGGAAACCCTAGGAGAGATAATTTATGAATAAGCAGATTATGATTTACTTAATCAAAGGCTTTACTAAAGTCAGTATAGACTACGTCAGTTTGAGACTGCTTAGCGAAACCCTCATGCACGAAAGTGGAGAATTCCAGCAGGCTAGACGAAATAGACCGACGTTTTACAAATCCATGCTGCGATTCAGAGAACAACAACAACAAAAGTGTTGGAGCTGGGAAGTAATTATTTTTTTGAAGAGTTTGGGAATGGCGGATAAATTGGAGATCCCACGGTAATTAGAAACATCCGAATTAGAGCCCGTTTTATGATTGGGATTAATATATGACTCTTTCCAGACAGTAGGAAAATCGCCGAGCTCGAGATATAGGTTAAACAGTTTAAGGAGGGGCACACAGAGAGAATCCGCACAAAGTTTAAGGACAGCACTAGGAACCATATCGGGGCCGGTAGAAAAAGAAAATTTACATGACTTTAAATTAATTAAGAGGTCATTATAGCCGATGAACGATGGATAGATACAGTTAAAACTATTCATGTGAAAAGAATAAGATTGATTGGGACAAAGTATGCCAGATGAAGCCAGAATATAGGGATGTTTATTAGAGGGAACTGAGCAGCAGAGTTGAAAAAAGAAGCGAAAAGATTAGCAACATCACAATCATTATCAGCCTGGCTGCCGTTAAAAGAAAAAGATGACGGAAATTGGGAAGAGTTACGTTTCGAGTTGACAAACCTAAAAAATTGCTTCGGATCACGCTTAAAGCTAAGTCTACATTTGGACAGGTAGACATTATAACATGTTTTATTAAATAAAAGAAATTTACTCTTAGCGATTGAATACTTAGGCTAGGCGAAAATCCTCCAGCTGAGCCCTCCCAGAGGGTGCCGGCCGGGCAATGGGCACTGCATTATTCCGGATCGGGTAATGCATTGCCGCTTGCTCTGTCCGAGGTAATGCAGTGTCTAGCTAAGGCCAGGTCCAGGTCTTCCCGATATAAAATTGGGGGAACTGAACCATGGCCATGGCTGGAGGTGCCTGGCGGTCAGGCATAAAACGCTAGGGGGTGGTCCCCCCGATAAATATTAACCACATGGAGCGGAATAAGGATCGAAAAGGGACTGGGATGCCAGTCCAAACGTCGGTGGAAATCGTGACTGCTACCACCGGCGGGCACGGGGAGGAGCAATCCTCTCTGCGTGTCGCCAGCGGTCACAACTCTAGTATGGCGGGAGCAGGTCATATTAGTTTCAAAGCTACTGCCACCAAAACGCCTCTCTGCAAGCTGAGCCGCACGGGTGCCGTGGTCGAATCAGACTCGGACCTGGAGAGCGTGCTTAGCGTAAGCAGAACGGAAGAAGAGAGCCTTCTTCGCTCGCCTGAGCCAGGTACCAGCTCCCTGCGTAGGGAAGGGCCGAGGCGCTCTAGAGAGGGGATGAAGGCTAAGGCCCAATAAAAGGCGGCCCTCAAAATCCGAAGCCGGCTACAAGGCAAAGAGGACATCTCCCAAGAGGAGAAGTCCAAACAAGCCTGGGCTGAGCAAAAGGTAGAAGAGGGGCGTCTTCGCTACGCGCAGCTGCCTCAGATGGAGGCGACGAAGGGCGAATTCGCCAATAAGGTTGAGGAGATGATGGCCACCAAAGGGCAACGCTCGAGCGAGAGTGCCAAGGACACTCCGGCGGGCAAGC